CTCTTTTTCCACCTCCATACCTCCAGTAGTTTTCAGTTCTAAACTGCTTCATCTTGAGGCTTAACAAATTGCAGCTGACAGTTGCCAACGTTTTGTATATCTTTAATGCCCTACAGTTCCCATAACAAGATTCCCACAATGGAACTGTATTTTTTCCAGCATTTAAAATGTTTGTTGTTTTCTTTTCACTGCAGTGAAAAAATACCTGAAGCAGCATTATTGTCATCAAAAAGCCAATCAAAAATGTTGAAATAGAAGCGTAACCACTCTCTTTGTGCCCGTCTTTTGCACCTTCCCACACACTATGAGTCTTTGGCAGACACACTTTGTGTTCTCTGCATTGCATCTTGAGATGGGCATTGTGGTAACTATTTTTTTAAAGCCCTGGGTCATGTGTATCTTACAAGACAGCAGGAGATTTGCAAGTTTTTGTTTTCATGCCGATAAAAACGAGACACTCATACTAACATTTCTCATAATTCTGTCATCAAAATGTCATTACTGAATGGCCAGCACTCACACACTATGTTTCCATTAGATACCCTCTTAATTTTTACTTTGATATTTGTTTGAAATTTTGGTAAATTTTGGTAATTTTGTCTAAATTAGGACAGTCTAATTTTGATAAATTAGACAGTGACATAAATTTGTCTTGCTGTGATGGCCTTCGATAAACTAAAAAACACTTGTGGATAAAGAAAGGATAGATTTAGTTTTAGTCATGGGCCTTCATAAAAGAGATTTTCAGACGTGCATAATGTTTTCAATGGTAAGTGATTCTATTTTTTCTTCCATTGTGATCTCACCAGTTATGGACTTGAGATATGAGTCAACAGTGGATTTTTCCCATTTGATTGTACCTTATTTCTTCTTTTTTATGTTTAAAAAAATGCATGTTTGGACAAATGACAGTCTCTTTAAATAACACAATAGATTAAGAGAACCTTGGGTACAATATTTTTTCTAAATAGTATTTGGTACAAACTCATGGCTCATGTAAAGGCTTGAGTTTTCATGCAATAGTCATGTGGAGGAGAACTGGCAGAGAAGCACTGATTATAATGATTAATGATAGATGAAAGACAAAAGTTTTTAATTTACTATTATCCCAGTGGATCTGCTCAAATGACAGCTTTCAACAATGAAAATGTTAAATATTAAGAATGTTATTACTAAATATGCCAAGTCATTTTTGCATAAACGATGAGGAATGAGGGTCAAATTCGACTGCAAATGTAATTGTTGTGCATGTCATTGTTTCTCTAACTTGCATTTAAATTGAGCAAGCATTTAGTAAATGATGAAGAATAGAAATCAGTGTTGCACTTTGAGTTCACAGGCTGCCTTGTGGTGGCTTGACTCCTCATTATAAAGTAAGCATAAAACGTCTATCAAACCACTGAAACACAAAAGGCAACCAAACAGACGCACACGGTCTCACTCTATTTCCCTCTGACTCATTGTCTCTCACACGTTGTGGAAGGAAAAACAGCGCCAGGAGTGATGGATGAGGAGAGCAGCCACGTGGGTGTGGCTGAAATTAAACTAATGACAGACAGACAAGTGAGTGAAAAAAACAGGCAAACAAGTGGGAGATGAGAGAGCATCAGAGATATGGAGATACGGGGAAATAAAGACAGAGAGGGGCAGAGATAAATAGAAACAGCCAGACAGAAAAGAATAAATGAGAGCAATAAGAACAGATGACATCATAAGAAATAGTCATAGCCTATGCTATTTGTTCCTAAAGTGCTGCCTGAGGCCAATTTTCCTAAGCACTGGTGAGCCATTAGAACTATTGTGGTGAACTACAGGCATCATTTGTAGTGAGGGTGTTTATTGTTTGGAGTGATTTATATCATTTACCAAAAAAGCGTTTGCATTAATTTTTTCATTTATACCCTGCAAAAAAAAATTAAGCCAGTCAATTTCAGGTACAGGGCATGCATGCATTTCCTGTCAGTGAAAGCCAGTCAGTAAAATTACATTTATTTATAAATTACATGGCGTTTTATCATGCTGACATACAATAAAAAGATAAGTCACATATTCTGTGTATATGAAAAAATAGGTAATTTGTGACAGATTTCGCTAATACAGAGTTACATATGTTTAGTCAAATTAAGTTATAGTTACTTGAAGATTTCCCACTGTATTGCTGCCTCATAACAGAATTATTATCACATTGTCTGCACAGTAATTCACTCAAACTGTTGTTCATCAATGCCCAACAGGGCAGCCTTATGCAGGTTGGTATTATGCCATGGGCCATATTCATATTTGCACCTTCTTCTACATATATCCTTCATGTCAAACTAAATTCACGTGTCACTGAACCTAACCCTAATCCAGATATCCGACCAGGAAGGCAGTGACATTTATACCGTAAACTCACTTCTGAACTGCACCGGTATAAACTGATCAAACACAACTTAATCTGAAAGGATAATGAATAGTTCAGTTCTGATGTGACACCTGGAAAGCCTGTGAGGGTGTGATGATACAAACTGCCTTGGGGCATGGTTTGTCCCCAACGTTTTGCAAGTCTAGCCTAGAGAAAATTTCTATGATATTAATTCAAGTTTACCCACAAGCACACACACACACACACCTACATACACACATAAAGTCTGTGATTCAGGCTTTAATTACCTCTCATAGGAACATCAGATGGCAAACAGCTTTTAAACAGCCAGCTGGGAGATGGAAGGCAGATCCAAAAAGGAATAAGGGGTTGTTAGAGAGAAAAAAAGAAAGATAGATAGGACCGTGGAAAGATAGAGAGAGAAAGAAAGGACGCGAGAGGAAAAATAGACATAACCCCAGAAGATAAGATGATGGAATGAATTAAGAGAAAGACAGTTGTTATGGATAAAAGTTCAAACAATTAGCAAACTAAGCCAGATGAAGAATAATTCTGTATGTAGGGCAGGAGGCAGAGGAGGGAAGAGGGAAGGTACAGATGGAAGATCCTCCTCTCCTCCAGCAAAGCACGCTGATGAACAGATGCCCAACAGAGAAGAGGGGAAGAAAATGCATCATGACACCAACAACGTGGGCGGTCAAATATTATTACAATAGAGAGGTTGAGGCAGAGTATTTTTAAAATGGGTTTCAATTAGGTCAGCTAATAAAAGAAGACCTTAAACATCACGGCTATTTAATGCGTTTCTTTCTTGGCGTTAACACTTGAAAGTTACGTGAGGGGTACGTGCCGAGAAAGAGGTTATTGTAGAAGGGGAGAGATCAGAGCGTACAACCACCGGCTGTGTCTGCCTCCCCGCTGCGAACCACTTTCAAGCTAATCCTTCACTGGTTTATCTTTATGTATGCCAGATTTAAAGTCATTAAGAAGGTGCAAGGGGTGAGGTGAAAGACCTGTTTCAAAGTGGAGGGCTTTGGCTCAAACATACCTGCTTCCCTGGGAGCTCTAATGGAATCCTTATCTACAATTACTACAACTGACCCCGACCTCCAAGAGAGAGAGGAAATGTTGTCCTTATGGGGATAAGTAAAGGCTGCCATTATGTTGTAATTAGAGCCATTTCTCACCTTTTACAGCGGGGAAATTAGATGGTGGGTAACTTTACCGTGGCAGATATTTTTCAAGTTGAAAAAAAAAACACTTAATGTTTGCAAAATGCATGGCCTGTTCTCTTGACACCGTCTGTTAAATATACATATAGACCCAGATATGATTAGATATGTGATATGCAACATTCCTATGTCCATGCTCCAGATTACACAGTAGTGCTTTAAATGAAAGAACATTCTTTATTATCTAATTGCAATGACAGTAATAATATAGATCAAGTGTATGTGTTTTTCCTTTGCGCTGAATAAAGATGGTCTGATCCAAAAATCGTTTGTTATCATCATTTGCTGCCTGTTTAATCCTGTTATCTAGCAGATAAAGGTGAAATTTTAATTTAGTTCTCCATCTGCTACAAATAAAAACTCTAGTAGCTGCTTAAATTAAATGAGCAGCCCTTTCATTTGTTGCAGTTTTCTTTGTAATTACAGTTTACTTGGGGAAAGATATTAGGATTTGTTTTATTTTGTGATTGCCTTTTTTTGTATATATTTTAAGTTCATCACTTTTAGTGTAGAGCTTTTTTCATTATGTATTTTTTTATGTGTGCGATTTTATAACAGAAATGAAACACTTAAACACAGTCGACACTATCAAATTATATAATCTATGACATTTAAATGACACTCATCTATGTTAAAGTAACATTTTTTACTTTACTTAAATAATACATACTTATCTTCTATCATCAGTTGAGGATATTTGTAAATATTTGTAAATAAATCTTCATCGCAGTTACAACAAAAATGTCAAAAGTGTAAAATAGAAATAGAAGAAGGCTGACAGGAGGAGAGATGTACACGGAGAGAAAGAGTCAGTGGTGTTGCCACGGATAGAGGAATTTGTAGAAGGATGGAAAGGAGAGAGTTAGAACAGTAGAATGATAGAGAGGTAGAGGTGGGAGTCCTTATCGGAAAAAGGCAGGCACCTTTATCTCTTGGCCTTCCAGACAAACACTCACACACACACACCTACCTAACAACTCAACCCCACACACAGAAAGACAAGAGACCACTGACTGAATGAACACATACACACACACACACACACACACAATGGAAAGTGCATTAAACACTGCCCGTGTGTATCATCCCCCTGCTTAAACAACACACACAATCCTACAGGTGAGCGACAGGCGCCATTTACACACAGACAGCCGGGCCCGCCTCCTGTCTCGCTGCCACGGCGACGAATTCCATTAGCATGCAATAAAATGTCAGTGGGGCATGCCCAAGTAACTCATCACACACATACACCCGCACAAACACGCGGGACACACACATTGTCAGAAATGTCAGAGGCCCGTGCCCAGTAATGTATCTGATGGAGAGAAGGCAAATGTCAGCTGTTCTTCAAAATGGCAGCCAGCAGCTGCGTGGCCAATGAGACCGCGGCTGTGGACTCGTACCGCCAGACACACTGACAGCATATCCATTTTGGCCGGTATGTGCATAACATCACATATTTACATCAATAAACCCGCATTAAATAACCAAGCACTATGAGGCCGGTGGCCTGCTTCACAATCACATAGAAGATAAAAACACAGCCCTGTTCATTATTTCATTCTATAATTTTATTTTTAAAACAATGATGCTGAAGTTGTACGTCCATACATCAAAGTACTCTGTATCACTGTAGTTTGTTCAGTGTATGATGTGGTTTTCCAGGTTTCTCTCACTCTGGAGCCACAGAATTTTTCCTCTAAAAGTAAAAGCAGACATTTTAATCTGGCCGTTTATCTGTTGATCATCATGTTTGTCTGGATTAAACTTTGCTCGGGACAGCAACATATCTGAAAATGCATCTATTTTGCAATCCATCTATTTTGCTGTCAGGTCCAGGAGGATTTCCATGTTTTCGTCTCTACTGCAACACTCTTCGACTCCTCCTGGGGGATCCCAAAGCTTCCAGAGACCAGACGGGGGAAATATAATCTCTTCAAGAGTATTGTGTCTGACCAGGGGTCTCCTCCCAATTGGACGTGCCTGAAAACCCTCCAAAGGGAGGCATCCAGGAGGTATTCTATGCAGGTGCCTGAACCACCTCAGCTGTACAGATCCGCAGTGGAATAACTTTTCAAAAGACTTCTGCAAAAGATTTAAATCCATTCCAAGGCATCAAATTTTGCCGTTTTTTGTGTGCCCATGTCTATGTCCTTTAAGGCATGCTGAAGGTGGGGATTCAGAGAGTTATAACAGAAAATAAAAGTAGTTTGGATATTTAGAATTTAGTGCTAGTCCAACCACTTTTCCCTGTCTGTCTTCTGATTCCTAATCAGTTTTTATTGGTTCGGTTGAGGAAATAAACCAGTAGTTTAGGTTTAAGAAGTATATATATGGAAGCATCAAAATACATATCATTATTGTTGGCTGGCATATTGATGTGAAATACGTTTTTGTTTTTTGTTCATTAGGTTATTCGAACTTTTTAAAACAAGTTTTTTACAATTACAATTGCTCCTCAGTGATGACAAATTACGTTTATTTGTCACAATCAAACCAGAGAAGGGGAGAGAAGTTTAGAGTCTTCAGTTTTTAATTCGTATCACAGCTGGTGTGATAAGAAATGGAAGTCTGACATTTGCTCTGTGTGGTCGGTCACAGACACTATTTGAACAGCGCATTCACTCACCATTTGAAAATAAATTAAGCTGTTGATAGGGCTAGAGTCCAAAGAGGGCTTTTGTTATTTAGAGGAGAAAAAAAAACTCCTTGTAACTCCCCAAAAACTTTTTTCAGCCATCTGTCTGCAGAGCTAGAAACTTTTTTTTTCCCATTCATCAGCCGGACGAGGGGATGGATAGGGGGATGAGAGTTGTGTGATCCCTGGCCAAGCTTTTTACCATCCGCCCTCCAACCCCCTACACAGGAATCTCAGCAGCAACCACTGGCAACGCTCACTCAAGGTTATAGGGACAGAGTCAGGGGTAGAGGAGAGGGGGAAAGATCCAGAATGTGGGTTTGTGTGTGTGTGTGTGTGCCACTGAGAGACAGTATGTTTGTGTGTCCAGTGACAGGTGTGTTCTTTCCCGTATGTTTGAGATAATAACAGAGAAGGCCGAATATGAAATAGAATGCTTTGTGCGTCCTCGTGATGAATTTTGTGTGTGTACAAAGCACACGTGGACACGTGCGCTAACTTCTACAAACTCCCGTAGCTATCGGTGTGTGTGTATGCGTGCGTTTGTGCAAGAGCGTGGAATAAAGATGGCTGCCGACTGTGCCACAACTCAGCGGGCCGAGCAACATGACAATAACTAATCGCCTCTGAACCACTGCACTAATGAGCCAAGCGCACACAGACACACACGCACACACACGTTCGGCGAATGGCGCATGTAGGCGCGCAAACACTCTTACAGCATTATTTCACACATCACAATCCACCAAAAAAAAAGTGATTTATTCTTTCGGTAATTGGGTATGATTTGAATGATTTCACAAAACACAATTAGCAGCACATTACACAAACACAGTCGGGCTCAGCTATTTTAAACGCGTGGAAGTTACCACTAAATAAGCAGATGGCAGGACTCACGGAATATTACGTACCGTATCAATATCCAAAGCAGACAGTATGTGTTGGCCGTGGCAAGTGATCCATCAGGAACCCCGCTGCCACGCAGAGGTCAAAGCCATCAACCCCGGAGACGGTTGCCAGGACAATACTCGCTTCGGCCAGGAACCAATCAGACGAGGTCCTGTATGCGTCACAGCACACCATAGGTCACCCAAGTAGTGGACAAGAGGGCGATCGAACTTAAGGAAGCTCGGCTCCAACCTCGTAAATAACCGTGATACATTTTGTGCATTTAGTACATTTGTAAAACGTATGTTTGGGTTCCAACAGAAAATTCAGGGTATAAAGTTTCTTTGTTCTTGGCTTATTTGGTGGACCTCCGCACAAACTGATCATTCGAAGACAATAGAACACTTGTTTTTTTTCTCATTTTCAAATTCCCGTCCTATACCGTTCCCCCATTTCTCACTCATCAGTAGTCCTATAGCTGTTGCCAACACATCCTACGTCGCATACTGAACTTGCTCAACTCTTCTGTGTTTTGCAATCGTTGCTACCTTTGTCTCCTCTCAGAGTTTCCCTTTCCCTTCTCCCCAGCTCCTCTTTTTTCCACTTCATTGCCTCTGGGTAAACGTTTGTCAGTGTAACGCGAGCGTCTCAGGTAAAGATATGCAGATTAACTCGAACTCGTTTGCATAACGAGCTCTTATTTGCCAGTCTAATTACGGTGGCATGATGAGGCCGTCCCAGAGCTACCCTCAGGTTTCATTAGTGGGGTTCGTTAAGAGGTTTGTTAGCGGGCCGCTAATCGCTTCCTCCTTCTTTAGCAAACAGTGGAGACCAAAAGTCCTGAAAAGACTCCCAGCACAGCGATGTCGGTGTACAGACGAGATGTGCGCATACAAATTCGGGGATAAATCACATGACACACTACAAACGGGAAAATATCAGACTAAAAACGGAAATGGCACTCACACATCAGCATGAAAGCAACACAAGGGCAGGTCTATGTATTGAAGACGCTGCTTATTTCAAGGTGCCTCGTGAAATTTTTTTACACACGCACGTGCATTAGCTATAGCAACTCTCAGTGGTAGTACAAGCAATTAAATTGGAAATGTATGGCAACATGCACGCACACAAAAAGAACAACCTCCAGGTAATCACCAGGTCCTCAGTCAATAAAAGCCTCACAAATAAACTCCTACATGAAGGGACACTCTGAAACAACAACTCACAAATACATACCAAACTTAATAAATTAAGGAAGTATGGAGAATAGGTTTTCCATTCAAAATTAGTATCACCACTTCAAAAACTAAACCATATGGATTAATCGCTAAAATGTTCATACTGGCAACATTTATAGCAGTTAATAGGTTTGCCACAGACATTGCTCAAGTCATAATTACTCTTGCTGACCTTTTGGAAAAATAATCCATTTAACACTTGAATGCATTTTTCCAGATGATAAACCGACACCTCATACTGACCGAAAAAGAAAAAGACACGATGACGATTGATTTAAAGCAGGTAAAAGGCTACATTGACTATTTGCAAACAAATCTTGTGTTACTGTTTCATATTGCAAAACTTGATTATGCAAAGCCATGTTTGGCAATGTTTGGTTGAATAATAATAATAATAATAATAATCATTCAGTGTAGGATGCTTACAATAGAAATACCAGCAATGTCTGATCCTGCTGATTCTGAAACTGTGTTTAAATGATCCAGTATAAAGTCCAACATGAGGTAAGTGAATTGCAGAACTTCTTGTAGTTTAAACTGAAAATGTCATGTGGCACAGTTTCTGTACTTTATAATCTGACACGGTCATCCTTTAGGTCACACCCAAACAAATGGATTAATCAAAGACCAGCTGATAGTAGCTATGGTGTTCAGATCTGAAATTGTGATTTTTTCAAGCTTAAAACATATCAGAAAACTTGCTCATCCTTTAGTAAACATACTTTGTATATCCCGCTATGTTGCTTTGGTGTGTGTGCTACTAGAAATAACCCAAATCACAAAGAACTATGAAAAATAATTTTTCCTGTGGTGTTTTCTATGGCGATATATTTTTTATTGGTAAAAAAAGAGCTTGTGTCAATGGGTAAGATTAGAACTAGGGGTGCACATAAAGCAGTTGCCATTACGTTTTACGCTCATTATGACAAGAGATTACAAAGAGGAGATAACTTTAGGCCCTTTGGGACATGTTTCGCTTCATTGTATTTATGCAACATGCTACTGAACATCTGGCGCATAATTATGAAGCATTTTTACAAAATGTATCAGAAGATGGTGGCCACCATAGCAGAAAAGTAAAGATTATAGGGTTACAGTAAAAGATTACAGTAAAGATTAAAGCGTGAACATTAAGAGATACATTAAGAGAGCAGTACAAACTGTGGAAACTGCTTGAGATAAATGGAAGAAAAAGGTTGAGTTGAAGAAAACCAGTGCTACCAGCTCAAAGGTTGGAGAAGAAACCAATAAATAAATCAATTTAAGATCTATAAACAGGAAAGAAGTAAAGGAAACACAAATTAATTGAAGATGTCAGCTGAATCAACAATCATGGGATGTGGAAAAAGGTCAAATTGGAGATTTGAGTTCTCTCTCCAAAAACCTGAACAACAGATTCAGAGGTTTATGGTAATTAGCGTGTAGTCTATTTTTGTGAGTGAGTGCCTGTAATCACCGGGCTGTCGCGCTGATCCACAACAGATGCGGCTGAAGTTGTTTCTTAAGGACAGCCTCGTGCCAAATTTCTTACATGCCTGTGTTATATGCAGTCATTTTCACGTCACTTTTTTTCCCCCGGCTCCATCATTGGCATTTCTTTCAAGAACGTGTACCCTGCTCTGTCAATCACAGTTGATGTAATAGTTCCTTTACCCTTTTACTC